ACCGCCGTCTTGAAAAAGAGTGGGCCGAGATGGCCCTGGAAATGACATTAATAAAGGTGAACTTGATTGGTGGCAACCTTACAATGTTTAGCTACACCCAGTCTTAACATATGCATGAGTGTTACAGAAACAGATATAAGTAATTTAGTCTTACTTACAAGCTTCCTATTGATGGCTGTCTATGAGTTYCCATTAAGACACCAACGAAGGTTTCTATACGGAGGCTGGTCTTTGAGACCTCGCTTTAAGAATGCTTTTTCCCCAGTGCCCTGATCGACAACTGTGACATATCGCACAATTTTTAAAAGTCGTGAATGGCGACAGGAAGGAATATGACCAGAAAGTGTACTAAACATTTATGTAGCTGTATATAAGGTAGTGTAAAGTCAGTGTTACATGTTATAAACATGTTATAAACACCTTAATGTACTTTATTCCAGTTGTTCAGTTCMMCTGYACAAGACYTGCTAGCTTGTTTTTGATGSCTTGGCGARTGTAGGACAGACGCAKTGACATGATGATTGGGTTGATGAGAGACTGGAGATGTAAAAATRTTAAACCGATWGTCCCGGCGATGTACTGAAAATCGCTCGTCGCATCTTTACTCTTCGTGGCTTCGATCACTGCGATCACTATGAAGGGGGTGTAAAAGAGAAACGACAATGCCACCAAGATGGACATTGTGAATACTCGCTTGTATTCCTGGAGTCGCTGCTCCTGCTCTTGCTGTTGTTGTTCGTTGTTGGTCTCTTGAACGGTTGCGATCTGACGAGCGATGATTCTACTCTGACGGTAAGCCGTCAGCTGTACTTTAGATRAGCAGTAGAGTGTGATCATGCAAAGAATGCTTGCCGATATAGCTGCTGGAACTTTAAACAGGTCAGGGTGGCTTTCATTCAGTAAAACGCTTGTAATAAACAAATMWGCCAAATGTATAACCCAGGAAATTACAGTTGTTATCATGACTTTTTTTACTGTAATGTTTTTGAGATGAAAATTCGGATGTTCAATGGCTAAATACCGCTCAACACTTGCGATAGTTAAGCTGACAATCGTTATGCCTGCACAGACTAAGGAAGGCAAAACGTACGCACTAAATGCACAGTCAGGCAAAAGACAATTGTTCAGAAGACATCCCAGAAAGAGACAATACAGCGGCTCGACCAGCAATCCTACAAGAAAATCAGTCACTGCTAAAGAGGCAAGCAAAACGTTGAAAGAAGACGATCTGAGACTTTCATTCCCCATCACAGCCCATATAACGAGGGCATTGACGACGATTGTTGGTGGGGCAGCGAGACCATTGACAACAGCAAGAAAAGTCCAAGTCGGATGAACTGAATCTGGACGGTTCATGTTATGAGGATCAAACTGAGGTATCGACAAGAAGCAGACACCAGGTGTACTAGAACGAACCATGACGCTAGAAGAGTTACTTGCCATAGCAAGCAAGACTGAGACGTGATGATTTGCTCTCTCAACGATGGAAAACAGGTTGTACGTTCTTCGATCACTGAGATCAGTTCGACTGATTATTTTGAT